TATGTTGATGACACCCAGCTCTATCTGTTAATGGATGGCCATCTGTCCTCCATTCCTGAAAACTTGGCTAAGGCTTTGGACGCTGTGGCTGGATGTTTGCGGCAGTTGGTTGAAGTTAAATCCACTGAAGATGGAGGTCCTGTACCTGCGTTGGGGTGTGTGTGGATATGGGCACCAGGCTCTCCACACTGGAAGAGGCGCCTTTGGTACTAGCTCAGACAGTGAGGAGTCTGGGAGTGACACTGGATGCCTCTCTTTTCATGGAGTTCCAGGTCACTGCAGTCGCCAGATCTGCTTTCTTCCATCTTGGGCAGATCAGGTTACTGAAGCCCTATCTTTCTCTACAAGTCTTAGCTATAGTGACCCATGCAATGGTCACCTCCAGACTTGATTACTACAACTCGCTGTACGCAGGCTTACCCTTGAGGCTGACCCGGAAATTACAACTGGTACAGACTGTGGCGGCGCACCTGCTGATGTTGATGCCTGTGTGGGCTCATGTTAGGTATGTGCTCCGCCAATTGCATTGGCTGCCAGTTGAGTACTGGATTTGCTTCAAGGTGCTGGTTATGACCTTTAAAGCCTTATACAGCCTGGAACTAACATATCTAAGGGACCGTCTCTTCCCATATACACCTCAGAGTGTTACACTCTAAAAACCAACATTTCCTGGTGGCCCCTGGCCAGAGGGACATCCGTTTTGCCTCAACCAGGGGCAGGGCTTTTTCTGTCCTGGCTCCAGCCTGGTGGAACATGCTCCCTATTGAGATCAGGGATCTGCGGGATCTTCTTCAATTCCGCAGGGCCTGCAAGATGGAGCTGTTCTGCCAGGCCTTTGGTTGAGGCAACAGGTGCCCATATATGGCCTCCCTGAGGTTGCTGTCACCTGCCGACCTACTGTCAACTGACCTTTATTTCACCTGTACCATTGGGTCAGAATTTTTATAGCCAGCTGACTTCCAATTTAAGTTGTACCCATTGTTTTTAATGTTTATATTGTGTTTTAAACTGCAATTGTATTTATTATAATGATGTTACCTGCTCTGAGCCTGTCTGCGGGATGGGCGGGATATAAATACAAATAATAAATAAATACATAAATATACCTGGGTTCCACAAACCCTACTCTGAAGCTCTGACCATTATACTACACTGACTTTCATAGGGTGGCTACTGTTGAACAGTAGGAAGCAGCCAGGCCTAGTTGAATCATGCAAGTCAGGTGGTCTCAAGTCACCCAGAGGGTGCTGCTAGGCCAAGGTTTGCCAGCCTCCAGGTGAGACCTGGAGATCCCCCAGGATTACAACTGAACTCCAGGCAAGAGAGATCTGTCCCCCTGGAGAAAACAGGTGGACTCTGTGGCATTATATCCAGCTGAGGCCTCTCCCCTCCTCAGACTTCACCACAGAATCCCCAAGAATTTCCCAACCAGGAGTGGGCAATCCTAGTCCCAGGCCTGGCTCCAACCCCCTCTGCAATTTAGCCATTCATACTGAAGGAGGAATCCTTCCCAATCCGAGCTCCAGTTCTGCTTTTGCGTCTTCAATCATCCAGTCTCTCACTGTTGATACGGTGGGGCCTGGAGTAGATACCTGCAGCAGCCATTTCAAAAGGGATGGGGGGGGGGGGGGGAATTCAACCCTCCCCAAGGGTGTTTCCCCCCCCTTTTGAAATTTTCTGCAGACCCACGGAATCCCGAGTCTGTAGAAAACCTTGGTGGTGGGAGTGTGCCCCCTATCTGTGGAAATAAGTATCCACATGCAGAGGGGACTGTTGAGAATTGGATATAGAGATTACAGCAATGCGCTCCATACATTTTTAAAGACACTCTTCTTCACAAGTTCCAGATAAACTCTGCATGTACCAGATCTGGTCTCAAATGAAGCTGTTTCTAAAATAAATAGCCATTTCAATAGATCTTTAGAACAAAGTGTCTCAAGTTGTAAGGAACAACCAGGTCTAAAATAATTGCAGGTTGCTATCTACAAGTTGCTTTTCTCTTCTACGTTATCATTAATATTCCCATGTGGGCAGTACAAAACAAAAAACATTAACCAAGACTCCTCCCCACTGGGAGATAACACATATACACACTAATTTAGTTGATTATTCAATGCATCAAGCCAGATATGTTTTCTTTTTTTTTTCCATGATAACCCATTACAAAAATAATGAGCTGTGTCATCACGCAGTGGCAAGGGAGAAGACCTGGAACCGAGTGTATATTGCCAGCAACGTCACCTGTGACTGAAGTTCCATCATCTTCCTCTTTAAATGATGCTGGTTATATATCCACTTGAGCCCAACAAGAAAGATTAGAGGCATACTGTTCAATGTCTGCAATCTAAGGCAAGTTAGAGTTCATCTCTCACAACTT